TGTGCTATCACCAACGCTGTTTCTTCTGCATATCAATGATATGTTGCTAACTGGTAACATTCATTGCTATGCGGATGACAGCACTGGTGATGCTCTATACACCGGCCGGGCCAATATTTCTCGGGAAAACGTCGCCGAGTACCGGAACAAACTTGTGTCTGAAGTCGAGTCTTTGCTGGACAAAGTCTCGGATTGGGGGCGACTAAATCTAGTCCAGTTTAATCCTCAGAAGACACAAGTTTGCGCGTTTACCGCTAAAAAGAACCCCTTTGTCGTATCTCCTCAGTTTCAAGGCACTCCCCTTCTTTCCTCAGCCAGTATCGGTATCCTCGGAGTCGACATATCGAGTGATGTGCAGTTTCGTGGTCACTTGGAAGAGAAGGCCAAATTGGCCTCTAAAAAGCTTGGCGTGCTCAGCAGAGCGGGACAGTATTTCATGCCGGCACACCGCCTGCAACTTTACAAGGCGCAGGTTCGGCCTCACATGGAATACTGTTCCCATCTCTGGGCAGGGGCTCCCCAGTGCCAGCTCCTTCCACTTGACCGCATCCAGCGCAGAGCGGCTCGAATCGTCGACGACCGAGCCCTTTCCGATCGGCTCGATTCATTGGCACTGCGAAGAGATGTTGCATCTCTTTGCATTTTCTTTCGCATCTACCATGGGGAGTGCTCTGAGGAATTGTTCGGATTAATCCCAGCCGCCAAATTTCATGAACGCACATCGCGGCAGAACTCCCGATACCATCCACACCATCTGGATGATTGGCGGTCCACCACTGTGCGATTTAGAAGATGTTTTCTTCCTCGCACGACTTCCTTGTGGAATCGATTACCATCAGCGATTTTTCCGGACCGATACGACTTAGGGACCTTCAAGAAAAGAGCCTACTCCTTTTTAAAAGGCCGGCAACGCATCTGCAATACCCCTGGTGTTGCGGTTGTTCATGGGCGGCGGTAGTCACTTACCATCAGGTGAGCCGCATGCTCGTTTGCCCCCTCTCCTATAAAATAAAAAATAAATAAATAGAAATCTTATAAAGAAATGACAAAAAGTAGGCTAATGCCATTACCTCAAATTTTCATTTTTGTTCTTTTTTGGCTCAATTTTTATATTCTTCTGCATGAAGCTTGCAAAAGTACTGTTACTTTCCTTTGAAAACTAATCTGCCGTTTCTTGAATTTTGAACTTAGGTCATCATATAAAATAATCCACATTTTATTTTCCTCATTCTTCGTTAGTTGTCTTCATAGTACTATATATTATATATTTTAAATTTTCAGTCAGCTTCTATAAATTCTTATTGTGTTATTGTGGCTTCTTCTCGAATTCATATTTATTTATGTTTCGTCACGTCCAGTGTTGTATTCATTGCGTCGTAATATTACTTTATTGTCAATAATTTTACTCAGGTCTTCTTTATTTCACTTAGCAATATTTATTCCCATTTTTTTTTGAAATAGGCCCGGCGGTGCGCTTGCACTGCCGCAGCGCACCGCCTGGCAGGGTCGCCATGTAAGGACGAGGGAAATGAAACACTTGAGTGTTGACGTAAGACTGTCTGTAATTACGTTATTGTTAAGTTTATATATTAAATTATAACCAAACATATGTATATATATTAGGTAGATACTACATACTGATGAACACTTTTGACTATCGACTGTTCGCCGATGAACTTCTGCTGTTGTAGGGAAGATTTGCCACAGTCGCCACGATTGGCAGGCGAATTGGCAAATTCAGTACCAGACATCTAGTGTGAATGAGATGTTTGTACCGCTATCTACACACGTCTTTTACTACGACACCGACGGGACATAATTTAATGATAATTTTTTTTATAAGGGTGACAAACGAGCACACAGTCCACCTGATGGTAAGTGTTTGCTGTGGCCCATAGACATCTACATCTATCCTCGTTTGCGAATCAAAATGCAGATGCGTTGTCACCCGTGAGGACTAAGATCGAATGCCTCGTTTCCAGTAAAAAGGGTCTTCGGTTCTCTACACTCACCAAACGAAACACAGCAGCGTTAAGCTGCTATTTTACGTTGGTATTCTGTGAGAGCGTGGTCCTTCCCCGGTCGAGCCGACCCATTCGTGCTACAACCATAATATAGCTGCAGCATGGCTCTACCACGTAAAATGATCAGAAGACTGTAACAAGGAATTTTAAGCTACGTTACATTGCCTTCTTGTGCTATAGAGTCAATTTATAGTATTTTTTCTTCCACCAGACACACACATTTTCTTTCACACAGAATCAATACCACTCTCTGACCAATTTCTGTTGCCAAGCAGCAGTGCGTGTACTGTGTTCCGATCTGAAACGTATAGATTTACAAGCTGTGAGCTTTTATCTTAGTCCTCGGAGATGCCAACGCAAATGTCCATTGACGCATTGGTCCATGAGGTATAGTAATTTCATAAAAATCTTCATGCAAAATGCAAAAAAATTACCGAAAATTGATAATTTAAAAAATAAAGTAACCGTGGTTAACTATGACATTGGGACGTCGTTCAACTCAGTCCCCTCCCCAGGCAGAACACCTTGCTCGGCGAGAGGTCTCCCCTTTTCCTTTCCAAGGCCACAGTGGTGAACCCGACGTGATATAAAAACGCAACCAGCAGACTGAAAACCTTCCAACCTTCGGAAAACTACATCTTAAAGCCTTCGTCATTATTCTTAAGAATCCCAAGAATCATCTTCTGCAGTCTTCAGCTCCTGCAATCCATCTAGCTTTACAAGGTTTATTCCAGCAATGGAATAACGCTTTCTGATCCTTCAAGCTACTTTCTGCGGTACAGTGTTCGGCACGGCACTGAGCCTTACCGCTCGCCTCTGCTTCACGGCACTCTCGCAGATTACTTGCCTTCTTGTGTACTCACCTCAGATTTTAAGGCAATTCTTTGGCACTTGCTCATTCGTCGACATCTAGACTGCACTATCGACCTCCGTCTGAGCAGAGGGGTGATGTGGCGGTGCAGTAGTCGCATCACAAGCGAAATATATCGAATCCTAAATCACGCTATCAGAGTACAAGCAGTATATATAGAATAGCTCCGAACTACCACTCTGAGCGTTGGTTGCACCCCGGGCAGAACACCTTGCCCGGCGGGAGATCTCTCCTTTTCCTTTCCATGGCCACAGCGTAATTTGCCGACAGGAATGAATCCTGAAAATTCCCCTGAGTACTCCACTTAGTAAATGCGATAAAAATGCAAAGGGATGCAACCTTTATTCGCAGCGCCAAAAAATCAAGCTGATCAGAAAGAACTCTGTCGTTGACGATTCGAGCCGATCTTCGCTAGATGCGGTCAAGTGAAGGAGCTAGAACTAGAGTGCCCGGCCCAGAGATGAGAACAGTATACCATGTGAGGCCAAACTTGCACCTTGTAAAGTTACAAGGGGTGTGCTGGCATGAGATACTGTCCCGCTTTGCTAGCACGCCAAGCTATTTAAAGACTTAAACTTTTGAAATACTCAACAACAGCGCATAGTTTATTTGTTGCTATTTACGCCAACACGTCACAACCAACCGAAAACTAATGACACCTATTTTATAAAATAAAAAGATAATAAATTTATATTTTTAGATATCTTACTACATATATTCCATCTTTACCAGTGAGCATTTACTTTTTAAAATTCCAAAGAGTTTGTACCGCATTCTCACTTTTTAAATGTCCCTCATATTTAGTCAACAATGAAAATGTTTTTGTGCCTAAATAAAACCCAATCCCTATTGAAAAAAAAAACAAACAATAAACTTTTTATATACCAACCAATAATTTAAAAATGTTGTGCCATGAATGCGGTTTGAGAATAGAACCAACAATATAACGGCAGACATCTTCAACATTGAGTAAAAAAGAAATACTAACCGTAAAATTAAATCCCTTTTATCTGAAAAATATGAAAAGATAATATCAAAGGGAGGATATAAAAAGTGTGGTTTTATTTATAGACGATATCAAAAAAAATGCAACATCCTCGTCGCAAAAGCGTGCATGTTTTCTGGTTTTAGCTTCGTTATTAAATTTTTACATTCCTTTGTATAAGTTCTTCTCAAGACAAGATACTTTTATTTCATTTTGGTGTCATTCAATTCAAATAAGATTTATGTAAAATTTATGAAAATATATTTTGTTAAAATTATCGTTAAAAAAATGACATAAAAATTATTGTTATATATATATATATATATATATATATATATATATATATATATATATATATATATATATATTAAGTTATTTGCATAAAATGGTCAAATTTATCATTAGTTTTATGTCATTTAAATACTAAAGTAGAAAATTAAAGTAATATGTATGTATAATATGCTTACATGGTTCACCTCTCATTTCTGAAAGGGTTTTAGAGCTATGAATCGTCCATCACGCAGCCCCAATATATAAGTATGTGTCTTCCAAATATTTTTTTTTTCTAATTTTTCCTTTACCGCAGAATACAAACTAAATCAATGCTTAAAACTCCATTAACAATTTCACTGGTACGATTCTACAACATTTTGAGGCGAACGCTTATTTCCTAAGCTATCGTGACATTTATTAGTAGAACGAACTACGGCCACGTCCGTACTAACATAAAATATCAGTATAACTCTCTTGTATGTCATATTGTTAATTACAAGTACCGGAGACCCTTTATACTCATAACCTTTTTGATATATTTTTCTTATTGAAGGTATAGGAATGAAGATATCTTTGGGCCCGAGCATCCACTTACCAACAGATGAACTGTGTGCTCATTTATCGTAATAACATCGCGAACGGGATGTTGCAGTCAACATTATCCCGTTCAATAGGTGTTCGACTTTAATGTTTCTTAAATCGGTTGTAGCTCATTTTGTTCCGAAGAACACGTCAGAAGAAGCATAGTTTTTATTTTTTGGGATTTAGTTAGTTTAGTTTACGACGGGCTGTTTTCCGCAACTCCACGTCTATGCGCGTATTTTGCGTGTGGGCAGGAATAATGTGATTATTCGAGCCATGAGATCTCTCCGAAGAAGCTCAACAGGCCCTTGATGTTGCATGCAACTTCGGGGAGTGATCCCGGCGTGCCGAGATGTTTAGCCCTGTATGTAGCGACCTCCGGACATTTCAGTAGCACGTGGGCCGCCGTTTCTTCCTCCCCCATACATGCCCTGCACAGGGGACTATCTGTAACACCTATAGTAAATAAATGCTTGTTAAAGGTGCCGTGTCCTGTGATAGCACTTGTTACTATCCTAATCTGCGGCTTGTTCAGTCTCATTAAAACTTTTGTTAAGCGACTGTTAATTTCAGGCAGGGCATCCCTAGCTTGTCTACAGTCTACTAGATTTTTCCAAAGCTGAGCGTGTTGATTAGTGAAGTGTCTACGTACCAGTGAACAAACGTTACCAAAGGGGATTGGTATGATTGGTTCCGGCCCTATAGTGGCCAAAGCCGATCCTCTTCTAGCCAGTTCGTCTGCTGCATCGTTGCCTCTGGATCCACTGTGTCCCTTTATCCATTGCAGGGTCACATTGTTGTTTTTACATACCTCATTTAATCGTTGATGGCATTCATATATTAGTCCCGAGTTCACCACATTGCATCTCAGGGCTTGGAGTACCGCCCTACTGTCGGTCAGTATTCTGATGGGGAAGTCATTAACCTTCCTAGCATCTATTGCTATGGCCGCTTGAATGATACCCATACATTCCGCCTGAAAGACCGTGTTATAGGTACCCAGCGGTGTGCATATGTGAATATTGAGGTCTTCAGAGAAAGCTCCAGAACCTACACCTTCATTTGTTTTAGAACCATCGGTGAAAATTCTAAGCTCTTTTGGGCTTAATCCTTCCGGCTGGCTGTTTTCATTTAACTGTATCTTATATTTCTTATCGAAAACAAATTGTTTAGGAATCCTATCGTATTTGGCTTGTAGGATAGGAATTTTTGAGTGAATTCTATCAATTATGCCTGTATGAGGGACACTATTCTTACTCCAAAGATTTAGGGTCTTGAGTCTGATGGCAGCTAAAGTCGCTTCTTGTTGTATATATAGATGAAGCGGAGTTAGCTCCAGCATCGCTTCTAAGGCTGCTGTTGGCGTAGTTCTCATGCAGCCTGTGGCAGCCATACATGCCAGTCTCTGGTAGCGCTGAAGCTTTTTAATTATGGTGGCTTCATTTGTCTTGGTCCACCATACCAGAGCGCCGTATGTGATCATGGGCCGAATTACAGTTTTGTAAAGCCACAGTATGATTTTTGGCGTCAATCCCCATCTTTTGCCAATCATGTTTCTGCATTGCCAGAAAGTTATACTAGCTTTGTTGATTTTGTTTTCTATGTGTTTATTCCAGTTAAGTTTGCTGTCCAAGGTAAGACCTAAATATTTTACCTCAGAGGATAGCTGGAGTTTTGTGCTAAAAAGACTTGGAGGATGATAGTTATTCAGCTTTCGTTTTTGTGTGAACATAACTAAAACCGTTTTATTTGGATTGACGGTTAAGTCGTGTTCCCTGCACCATCTCTCCACTATACGGAGAGCCGCTTGGGTCAGGTCGCACACTATGCTTGCTGTCTTTCCAGAGACCAGTATTGTCAGGTCAACAGCATAACCTACTGTATAGAAGTGATTGTCATTTAATTTGCTGATGAGTTCATTAATGACCATATTCCACAGGAGAGGTGAGAGAACCCCACCCTGCGGGCAGCCTTTCTTAATTTGGATTGGTTGAGATTCACCAGCAATATTTATTATTCGTGTACTGAGCATGTAAACTATCCAGTCGATCAGTGCCGGTTCAACTTTGTGTCTACCGAGTGCACCTTTTATGCTGGAGAAGTTCGTTCGGTCAAAAGCACCTTCTATATCTATGAAGGAACCTAGACATATTTCTTTGTTTTGGATGGCCTCTTCAATCTTTGTAATTACCTTATGAAGGGCCGATTCTGTTGATTTGCCTAGACTGTAGGCGTGTTGCTTGTCGTGTAGTGGTAAGTTCATTAGCGCCGACCCCCTTAATTCCCTTTCACACATCCTCTCCATCGTCTTTAGGAGAAAGGATGTGAGGCTAATGGGCCTGTAGGATTTAGGGTCAGTGTAGTCGCTCTTACCTGGTTTGGGTATGAATGTAACTTTCACTTCCCTCCATCCCCTAGGAACATATTTAAGAGCAAGACAGGCTCGCATTATGGCAGCAAGTCTGACTATTAGGGCTTTACCCCCCCACTGTAGGAGTGCCGGGAATATGCCGTTGGGTCCTGCCGCCTTATAGGGGAGGAAACTGTGAATGGCCCAATGGATTTTGTCCATCGTTACCACTCTCTGTGCTAAATTTCAGTCTTCTGCTGTTGATGTCAGTATGTCGTCATGCCGGTTTGCCTCCTGGGTTACGCAGCAACCTGGGAAGTGCGTTTCAATTAGGATGCGTTGGGCTTCATCCGGCGATGTTGAGTAGCTACCGTCGGGTTTCTTTAGAGACATGGATCCCGACGTGTTCTGTTTAGCTAGAATATTCCTAATCCTATTTGCTTGTTTGCAGGTTTCTATGTTGCCACAGAATTTACGCCACCCAATCGAGCGTCGATACCTGATACATTTTTTGTATTCAGACTTAGCTTTCTTATATAATAGCCAGTCTTCATCCATTGAGGTATTCATGGCCCTATTTAGAGCTTTTCTTACCTTCTTACGTTTTCTATCGAGTTCTTTACCCCACCACGGTTGTTTTACCTCGGCATGTCTTGGTGGAGTGATTTCTGGACATGATTCATGGTAGCTGTCTATCATGGCCTTAGTAACAGCTGCTACCTGTTCTTCTAGGAGCGACTGATCTGCTATAGTATTTATCCCCTCAAAATCCGCTAGCAAAGACGTCAGCCTATTTTGGTATTTTGTTTTATCTGTCTTGCGGGGATTTCTCCATGGTGGTGTAGAGGGGATATCGACCTGTAGTGCGAAGCAGATCCATCTATGGTCTGAGCATGAGGCCTCTCTCGACACATGCCATCCCGTAATTAGTTTGGCTGCTCCTTCTGTTGCAAGTGTGAGGTCGATTATAGTGCGACAGCGTTTGTTTATGAAAGTAGGTTCAGAACCTATGTTTAAAATGGTTAGGTTAGTACTAAATAAATATTCAACTAAAACTTTACCTCGTTCATTTGGTTTTTCCATTCCCCAAAGGGGATGATGTGCGTTGGAGTCCGTCCCGATCACAACCTCTAGTCCGGTCCTCTCGCAGAAGTTCACCAGCCTGCTGAGGTCATGAGGGGGAGGAGTGTCTTCCTCCGGCATGTAGACCGAGGCGACGACTAATCTACTCTCCTGTGTGTACTGTATTGCTACGGCATACATGTCTCTAGAACAGAAATCTGTTAAAGGTTGTGCACAGATATCTTTAGTAGTGTAAATACACGCTCTAGGCTTGTCGTGTTCAGAGCTGTAGAATAACTTACCTTTTAGGTTGTTTAGGCCTTTAATTTTACCAGCCCCAACCCATGGCTCCTGGATTAAGGCTATGGCAGTCCTTTGAACCTCCAACCACTTGCGTAATTGAGCCGACGCAGTTTCGCTGTGGTGGAGGTTGGCCTGCACTAGGCTAGTTTTGGACGAAGGGCACGCCATCATTGATCGCGTCCTCCCCGTCCCCGCCCAAAAATAGGCCTGCCAGAAGATCTCGGGTTTCATCGTCAGCCACCGAGTCGGAGGTGGTCGGCAAAATGCAGTCCTCCTCGTCACTCAGTGAGCTGCCGCTGAGCCCAATCTCCACTGGGGGCTTCGGCTCAATTGTGCAGGCCGTTTCTTCACTGGACTTGGCCTCCAGTGATTCCGCTGTACCGGTAACTATGGCTCCGGTATCCATAACTTCCGGGTTGTTTTCTACCTCTTTGCTCGGTGGAGTATCAAAGAATTTGCCCTGGAATTTTACGTATACCGCCCCGCATACACATGCGAGACGGCGTCCGGCCTTCATCAGGGTCGGGATATGATCCTCCGGCACCGAAACAACGAGGAACCACCCGTCCGTCTGCTTATCTGCCTTGAGTAACAGCCAGTCCCTGATGTTAACCCAGCGGTTCTGGTACGCCAACACGCGACCAATGTCGCGTGAGTCTTTCCAGGCCCCCTGGGCATCAGGGATAAGGATACCACATTTGACTCTTTGTGGTATCTCTGACTGTTTCTTTATTATCAGCAAGGTGCTGGATTTAAGGTCGAGGGTAGCAGTGTTCCCCTTCAACCAGTCCAGAGCCTTCTGATCGTCGCACCACAGTTTCAGGACACCTTCCGTATAAACGGGTTTGCCCCTAAAAACTGGGCCCGACGCATCAGGGTCCTGGCTACTCCAGGCCTCGCTGATCATCTTCCTCTGTATTGCTACGAGGATGTCGTCTGCTACTTCCTTCGTAATGTGACCTGAACGCGCACACGTTAAGGCTACACCCAAATCTGCTTTAGCAGCGGAAGCGTAGCTCGTTCTTGCAGTCTTTGGTTGCTGTTCGAGTCGCACTTTTTTGTGTTCACCTCTAGGCGAGGTGGACTCTTCCAGCATCCTTTTGGCTGCTCTTTCCTTCTTCCCAGGACGCTTGGCCGCTCGCTGCTTCCTGGCGGATATCCTAGAGCTGGTTCCCGCGTCCGCGACTTCCACTTGGGCTGGATTTTTATCCTTCCCAGCTTCAGCGCGGCTACTGGTTCCAGCGCCAAGCACCTCAGTCGCAGTAGCTTGCCCAGCCTCCTTGGTTTTGGTATCTGAAGCAGCAAATGCGGCTCGTTCTCTACGGCCTTTTTCCCGCTGCTTTTTGTTCTTCTTTTTGGCCTTTCCACTATTTTTTGGGATATAAACTATTTAATAATAATTTTGTAAAATTATAATAAAATACCCTTATGGTTACAACGCGTTTGGTCGCCTGTACAGAGCGGTTCGGTAATGACGCGTAACATGTACGGTGCGTATCGATCAATGAGTACCTGCCATATTATATTGACGTGAGATTGTTATCAATTCGACCAAGAACACTGCGGTATTGGTCAGTGACTAAACGGTCTTTTGGGCGTTGTTTCACATTAATTTAAGCAAAAAATAATATTTTAAACATGTGCCGAAACAGTTAGTTATGGTCATGGTAGAAAACGTTGTAGTCGGTAGAGACCTCTAACTTCTAATGATGTCATGGTGCAGTATCTTCGAGACGGGAGAAGAAAGATTCTTTCTTTCTAATAAAAATAACGACAAGCAGAAAAAAAGTAGCTACATCACAGAGAGTAAGGAATGCGACTGTGGGCAAGGGACGCTCAGACTTTTCTGACTGACGGATTACGGCCTCGTATTAGAATCTGACGGAACACCAGATAGAAACTAACCCAAAATGGCTGATATTTATTTTCACAGACTGGTAATAACGATGCATTCATCCATCCATCCATCCATTACAGCCTATAAAAGTTCCCTGCTGAACTCAGGCCTCCCCATAGTTTGCCTCATGGGGCGACTTTGCCATAGTTGCCACGCTTGACAAGGGAGCTGCAGTTTTTAATTATAATGAGTTGTTGTCAGGAAGATGCTGCTGCCCATCTCCTGTTTCATTTTCCTCTTGCCGCTTCTTAGGACACCCTGGGGGCGATATAGAGTAGTGGATATTCTTGGACCACCGCTACACGGTAACTATGTAACAGTAAGCGTAACTTATAATATTCCCCTAACAATTTTTTTAAAGTAATTCGTTATTACTACACCTACCAATCGAATTACTAGTAAGTTAGTAACAAGTTACTTTTACTGCAGAAATAAAGGCTATGTTGTTTAGAGCATTCTGCCAATCATTCCACACGTGCACCCTATGGGTCAAGTACACAAAAAAATCTTACGACGCCCTACGCATTCTATATAATAACGCCTTTAGAGCACTGATGAAGCTGCCAAGCTACTGTAGCGCATCGGGAATGTTTGTAGATGCAAATATAGACGGATTCGCAACGATCATTTGGAAGCGAGTCGCGTCCCTGATGCGCCGCATGCGGCTCAAATAGCTACATGCAACTGTTCGCCTGGCGGATGGATCTAGATTGCCCTATAATGAATGCGACACTGGAATATGCTGTATGTTGAGCACTCCGGATCTAAACCTAAATTTAGATTACGTTAGAGATGTGTACCTGTTTTGTTGTGTTTGTGTATTTTATATGAATTTTTGAGTAATTTTAATAATTTAATTTAAATGAAATATTTTTTTATGTAATCCATATAAAATTGACTTAGATTTACATATTTTAATTTCAATGTGTATTTATGACGT